GTATGCTCCGGCGTCAAGGCGTATTTGCTCTTCAGTAGAAGCATAACGTCCTTCCCCCGTTAGCAAGTCAAAATTGATCGGGCTGCCGGCCTGTAGGTTAAACTTGGCCATTTCTCTGCAATTTTCAATGAACTCTGATTGCCATAAGAGAAAATCACCACCCAAAAGAGTGGCTCTAGCTAACATACGCCAATCGCTGGGCGAAAGCCTAAGATCAGCAACAGAGTCAAGAATGGCAACAGTATAGGAGGCAGTAGCACCATATTGGGTCACTGCAGTTTTATGTCCTTTAAGAACCTTAAAATCAAAACCAGAGTGGGTGCAGACCAAACATCCCTGGGCATCAGTAGACTCAAAAATTGGAAAAGCCTCAAAGTCTAACAAGGCAGAGGGTCGGCCAGGGCGAACAGGTTTCTGAGAGTCACCAATAGGCGGTGGTGCATCCATATCAATTAAGATGGAAGTATGATCCTGCCGGGCAGTGGGCTGGGAGATAAAGCCACCAGTAGGTGGTGTCGAAGGAACACAGGAGGATCCAGGCTGATTGTGGTGACAAGAATTTTTTAGTCGGATTTCTTTAAGAAGAATAATAAGGTCTAGGTGTTCTTTTTCTAAAGCTATCTGAGACTTAAGGAATTGTATCCTAGACTTTAGTTCTGCCTGGGAATCAAAAGCCAGGAAAACCATAGGCGGAGCAGCGGGAAAAGTTGGGGGACAATCTGGAATGTGATATTGAACGGCTTGTTGCGCTAGATCATCCCAGTCAATGTTATTAGAACGCGCTATAAGCTCTGGGGGCTTTGGCAAATCAGGGTAAATTTTGCTATACAGTTTAGTAGCCAGTGTCAGCAGGGGTAACTGTATTCAAAATGGCCGAAGAGGCTCCACCCCCTAGAGGCTTCTTCACCGATTGGGAAGAAGTTCTTTGTTCTCCGCCATCTTTGTCCACAAGCTCTGTGCCATCTTGAGTTGGCGCCTGAGTCATCTCCCCATCACCATCACTATCGAAGGACATAAGGTCCTCTTGTTGTTTGGGGGCATCTGAACTAGTTTGAGTGGATGGTTTATCGGCCAAAGCGGAGACTGAGGGATTAGAGTCCACTCTGAGCATCTTTTTGCCCTTCTGAATCATAGAAGCAACCTGGGGATCTCGAGACTTTTGGGATAAGAGTTTATCTATCAGATTCCAGTAAGCAAAAGCAGTCACAGGACCGTTTCAGGCCCAAAAACATCATAATAGTCT